AGACAGTTGCAAAAATTTGGGGTGTGTTGAACTACATTTTAAAAAATATCTACAAGCAGAGAAGATACAGAATAAAATTTCAACTTTGTTCATTTTATATTTTATAATGGTTAATTAGAAAATAGAGCATATCTCTTGATTTTCCATATAAATGTTAGCCTCAACTTAAACTATTTTCATTTTACATGGAGTCAGTCTACTGTGTAAATCAAAAATTGTGTACACATGTGAAGTGCTATTTCTTTATTTCAATTCAAAGGTGGTAGTAGTAGCCAACACTGACTAACTAGTACTACTACTACTGTCAGTAAGTTGTTAGTTGTTTTGTCATGAAAACAAAAACTCTCTTCCTAATTTTAAGTCAGTCAAATTAAAATGTTATTATTTTAATGTACTGGGAAGAATGTTTTCTTTAATGTTTAATTAACAACTAGTTTTTGGTTAATCTGATTAATTTTATATTTTAGTCACAGTTTAACCAGTATGCTGGTTTCCCCCATTTTTATGCAACATGCTAGTCATTCCACAAACATACCGTAAATACCACTGGCCACATATTTTTGCAATACCATTATTTTTAATTTTTTGAATAAAAATTTATATTTTCAATTTTATTTTTAATTGTAAATTAAATAAGTAATTCTTTTACATCTATATTTATTTCTGTCATTAGTTTTTTGTTTAAGTGAGATAAAAAAAATTTATTATTCCAAAAAGTTGGGATAACCTTATATTTTTGCAATGCACTTTACTATATTGTGTACAATTAAGGGTATTAACTTTTATAATGAAATATGAATTAAGAATTCAAAACAACTAAGAATCAAAAAAATTAATACTTTGGAATAAATTTAATCATTCTTGTTCTCTCATGAAACTTTGTTACTTCAACATATTTTTAATAAAAATAACTATTAATTTTAGCATAGTTGCAATTAAGTAAATTAATTTCACATACTGTATAATTATCTAATTAAACACATACTTGCATGCCAATCTATATCCACTTATTATAGATGTTGGATGAATTCTGTATTTCACTAATTCGTCAGCATTGCGTAAAAGTTCGGCAGCAATAATTACCTAAAAACAAATTAAAATTGAATAAATTGTAAATTGTCAACTAGTTAAAAACTAAGCCTGATATACATAAAATTTAATCCTAACATTAGTTAAAAAAAAAAAATTAATTACATTCTAAAACAATCTGAAATTAAATGTTATACTGACATAATGAAAGTAGATATACATAAGCATTTATCAATCAAAGTTAATTACAAATAACTTTCATGAAAACTATATACAAATTTTTTTTATTCTAATTAAAGTTTCTTCATATCCATACAATCCCTCAAATACAAAATAAAATTTTCTCTAGTTTTTCAGTTTCTAAATTATTCAATTCAAGTATACTTGCAACTTTTTGAAAGTAAACAGCTTGCAAAGAAATTTTATATGATTACATTTATATCACATACGTAACAAATCCCTAGCAATTAAATAAATTTACGTTCCAGTCATAGTTTTAATTTTTAATTTAAAATTCTGTTCCCACCTATATTTTTAAGTATTAATTAAGAATGAATCAGCTAAGTGATATACATCAAAAAGTAACTAGGTATAATTTTAGAGAATCATTTTAAATGAACATGCTTTTAAAGCATACTTTTTTATATTGTTTGTTAATGTTAACACATTTTTATAATAACATGCATCTTTAAGATGCATGTTATTATAATAACATGCATCTTAAAGATAACACACTTATAATAAAGATGCACACTTATAATAACATGCATCTTTAAGATGCATGTTATTATAAGCATCTTAAGCATGTTATCATTAAATGTCGATTAAATAAAATTTAAAAAATTTTTCTTGCTATCTATTGAACAAGAAAAATACTTTTGTATTTTGTTCAGATTAGAATAATTTGTATCAGCAAAATGATATATAAATCAAATTTTTAAAGTCATTTTTGCAGAACATCTCTTTTTCCCATTTGTATACCTAAATTGGAAACAATTCCAACTAGGAAAGTAATGGGACACAAACACTGTACATTAAAGTAATTATAGATAATGTCTATTGAAAAATAATGTGATAAATTTGAAATATTGAAAAAAATCATTTTCATTGTATGTAGTGATTACTGATTTTTTTTTATGTAAAAGATTATTATATGTACACAAATTTAGATATTGCTGGTGTTTTTAATAAAATTGATCTAAATAAATAATGTGTAACTGCTGTCTTATTGGCTAGTAACAGTATTTTCTAATTTTATTATTACAACTTAAGTATTAAATCATAGAAACAGCTTTACCTTGGGTGTTCAAATGCCTATGCACACAAAATCCACCCTCCCCATATACTTGGAATAAATTGTGTATCTATATACATCATATACATACACAATTTACATTAAATTTTCTTCCTTTTCTTCACAAAAATTTGGTTTTTGATATACATTTATAGTTATCAATAATTCCATTGCATTTTTATTAAAAAACCTTAAACTTGCTAAAAATTTCTAAGTACACAGTTTTTTAGAATCTAACAAATATTTTAAATAAATTTTAAGTTTTTATCATCAATAAGAAGAAATCACATTTGTAGTTCAATATTTCCTTGAAAAATTACCTAACACATCATTCAGTCTCTTCAAGATTATGTTATGACAAATTTAAATACAGCGAATTCTCAATCTATCATTTTCCCACATCTATCTGTTGTTTTCTCCACTTCCAAAAAAGGACCCATATATATATATAATGTTAATTTTCCTTGTATTTTTTTACCTGCAATATTCTCAATATTCATTACGAATAGTTTACAATTACCGGACAATAAAGGTTTAGTAAGTGTGATTTTATCAGAATACCGGTATTCAGATTAGAAGATTTTTAATATTCATTCTCTATTTTAACTGAAAGAAAAATATTTTCCCACATCAGTTGTTTTACTCACAATAGAGGGAGCTAAAGTGAAACACAGACTTGTGTACTAAAAATAAAAGCATGACAAATTTAAGTTAAAACCCTTTGACTACAGCTAACCAGTTTTAATTGCAATTTTTGGCTATTTTTTGTCTACTGCTTTACAAAATACTGTACTTTATTGATGACATTTCCTCTTAAAGCCTGTCAACACTGGTAAAAAGTAGCAAATTGTCTCAGCATTGCTATCTGTACAATAATTTCATAAATATGTCTTACTTCAAAAACAGCAATTAATTTTTGGAAGAAAAAAGTAATTTGCAATCACTATTTTTATACACATCACCGTTTCATTGACATTTCTTGTCTTTTTTCGTTGCTAGAGGGCTACTATATTTTCATCAGTTTTTAGATTGGCCATCACCATAGATTCTTGATTATAAGGCATACTTTTATAAAGCTCTTTGTCATACCTTTCGAGACTGCTAACTGCTATACTTTTAGACCCACTGATAAAATGCTCAAATTGATGTGAAAAGAAAATTTGTGCAAATAAACCTCTCTGTTGAAATGCCACCATGCTTCTACTTGTACAAAATGTATTAATGTAGTACCTATAGAGTAGTTTCCATTTAGTGAACTGTCTAAAACAAACTTTTTTGGCATAGGGAGTTGAAACCACTCGAGAAGTGTACTAAAAATTTTAGACAGTTGCAAAAATTTGGGAAAACTAAGGTTTATGCATATGAAATAAGTATGGTATATAAAGGATGTGTTACATATTTGTTAATGCTTGATATGTTGAAATTGTATGAAAAAACAAATTTTAGCTTACGTCCAGAGGTTTGTTTTGCATCATATATTATAAGGTACAGTTGTAAAAACTTCATTGTAAACTGCATTCTAAAAATTGCTTTGTTGTAAGAAGGAATTACAGTCAAAAAGTTTATGAGATTGTGACATAAGGTTAACCTTGTTAATATTTCCACAGATAAAGGGTGTACGTATAAAAGATCAAGATGGATGTACAATAGTTTCAAGGGGATAAGACGATTTTCTCACACATGGTTGGCAACACTGCACTGTTAAGGTAGGGAAAATAACATCTGGACAAGTGAGAAAAGTCAGAACCCTTTTCTGTAAAAGAATCAACACATCGTAAGTGACAAAAATGTATAATTTCACTAACATTTTTGACACTTGTATGTTATCATCTTCAAGTACAAAAAAAAAGTAAATATATTAAGTATTCTTACCAAAAGAAATGAACAAATTTCAGTATTCTTAACAATTTTTTTAAAATGTAGAATAAATGGATGTCCATGCGCATGCTCCATATCGTTTAGTATGGCGGAAAGCCATCATGTAAGCATATCACTAGAAAATACATTTCATACAAGATAAACAATAACGTCATAAATTTCCTGTATCAATTGTTTTCCTCCAAGTCCTGCCAAAAATGATAGATTGAGAATCCACTGTATATCGAATTTATTCCAAGTGTATTGTTTTGAGCAAGTACTCTCTTTATAGGATAATTTTTTAACAAGACAAGACAATCAATAATTAATACAATAAAACTGGTAAAGTCCTATTTATTTACTTTTTATAAATATTTAAACTATTTTATCTTCAGATATCCTCAATTTTCTAAACCTAAATAGCTAAACAATTATCATTCAAACTCTTACAATAGCAATACAGTAGAGCATCAATTACCCGACACAATTGGGGACTCATGTTGGTCAGATAACTGAAAAAAATTGAATAACCGAAAATAATGAAAAAAAAACATTATTAGTATAGTATATCGCTATTAACCAACTTCGCGTTGAATTTTCATTGATGTTAAGCCTAACAGTTTTTTTAAAATAATAATCGTTGCTATTGTATCGTTAAAAATTATTTTTAAATTATTTTATTGCTCACAAAACAAACAACTACTCATAATCAGAAAATTAAGTCTCGTTTAAATACTGGCCTCCCTTCAATGGTTGAGCCGGTGTTGCCAGCTAAAACACACAAAAATTTAACAAAAATAATATTAAAGTAGCCAAGACATAGCCAAATATTGTAGTGCCACATCACTAGCAGACATTTGAAATCTGCCAACTAGAACAGCCGGTTAACCGATGTGACAGTTAATCGATGCTCTACTGCAGTGTTTTTCAACCTGTGGGTCGCGACCCCCAGGGGGGTTGCAAAGCCTTACACGGGGGTCGCGGGTAAAAGAAAAAGACAAGTGTTTGTAGGTCCTACACTACAATAAATAAAACTACAATTTCAGTGAGAAGGCTTTGCGTTTTTATTTTAAAGTACAATTGGTTTTTCAATCGATATTTAGGTCTCAACAGAAAGAAAATTAAATACGTAGTTTTTAAAATCACTGATATAGTTTTAATATGACCCTGGGGGGGTCACCAGAATTTTTTTAAACTTGTAAAGGGGTCGCGTATTCAAGAAGGTTGAAAAACACTGCTCTACTGTATTAGAAATATAATTTTGATAGAAATAGAAGCTTAAAAATAACAATTAGTAAAATAATATCTTAAAAAAGTTGTTATATATTTACATTATACAGTTAAAGTTACAACATTATACAGTTCTAGTTCAAATCTATAGGATAGCTCAGATTTTCAATTGGGCTACTTCAGGCATTCCACAATACATTGCCATAACACTTCTTACACACATTACTAAAACTAAAACACAATAAATACACTAATAAAGTAGGACTACACTGTTGCAAAAAAAAAGTTGAGGTGTCATGATTAGAAAAAGGTTAAAAAACACTGGGTTAGCTATGCAGTTCATGCTCTCTCTTTATTGATAGAAGACAAAGACTTGACAAATCTAACTGATTATTCAGATAGTCTTTGTTTTCTTGAAACTTTGAAATACAGTATTTATCATATTCATAATGAAAAATAATAATTATGCAACCAATATTTAAATTTTTGTTTTCAATATAGTTTTTCACAAATATTCCAGACCTAGTTTTAAAATTACACAATTTTTAATTCTGATTCTAGCATCTTTAGTTATTTGATTTTAACATATTAATATCAGAATTAAATCTGCATTACTGATTTTAAATTAACAATTTCAAAATAAACAAAGATAAATAATAATAATTTTGTAAAAATGATTCAAATGAAACAATATCATCATGACTATTGACAACTACTGTTTAATAAAAAACAAAGATAAATATTTTTAGTTTTCTTTTGAAAAAATAATTTGAACAAATTTATGAATACTACACAAAGTGGAATTTTTGTAAACAGAAATTACACATGCCATTTTCATTAATTTTTATCTTAAATATAGCAAAATCTTTCTGAAAATGTTTAGTGGAATACATATTTATGTATAACAATTCACTCTAACATCAACAAAATATTGATTTTGCTATACTGACACTTTAAATAACATGTGCAGATAAAATGAAGTTACTTAAAAGAAGTATTTGTAATCATTTGTTAAAATCAAAATGTATGATTTTCAAGTTCTTAAAATGAACAGGACTATAATAACCAATTAATAAATATACTTACTACTGATGATGTACCATCACCAACTTCTTGATCTTGCAATTCAGCTAATTCAACTAACACTTTTGCAGCTGGATGCTCTACTTCTAGTAGTTTAAGTATAGTTGCTCCATCATTTGTAATTGTAACATCCTAAAAACAAAATTTAAAAATATATCCAAAACTTAAATTTTTATTTTCTTTTATTTATGTAATTTCAATATTTTTGTATATTTCAAACATTATATGAGAATAGTCTGATGAAGAATTTCAGTGTCTAAAATCTAAGTAACTCGTACAACATGGAATTCATATAAAACAGAATTATCAAGTGTTATAGGGGAGGTCGACTGTACATTTACTAAAAAAACATATGACGTTGAACTGTAATCTGAAAATTTTTCACATATATTATGTTAATATTTATATTTTTCAATTGAAATAAGTTATCTTCAATGTACATTTAATATGTCTTAATTAAATATAAAAACAATTTAACGTCATAACATCAACTTTCACACCTGGGAGTGAATCATTTGTTAAGTTCTTAGCAATAAAAGCGACGCTTTCTCATAAACTCCTAACCCGCTATCTCGATTTCTCCAAGTCAATATAGCCAGAAACTGCAAGTTTAGGCAGTTGTTACCGTCTCTCAACAGAATATCAACCCTTATCTAGTGCCTAATTTAGTGCCAATGGATATACAGGGTTATCCACTGAAAATCCTCCCCATAATCATTGAACAACATCTACCCCAATATAAGGAATAGCAGAAACCAAATTAGTTCTTGCAGATGCTTCAGTTCAACAGATACTTCCTCATCTAAGAGTACACATTTTGAAGACAAACTCTATCCAAGGGACTAAGATACATTGCTACACGATCAAGAACGATCAAGAATACCTCCCAAGAATGAACATCTGACTATATTTGATCATCACCACCCCAAGGTATTTATTGCCACACAAATCTCATGTAAACTTGCTCTCTCTCACAACCACTTTTGTTTAAAAATCCCTTGAAATTAAGGCCTAACAAACTGTAACGAAATTGTAAATTGTATCATGTTGTCTATGTAATTAAATCGTTATTAGTTGTTAACTTGGTACCCAAGTGATTCACTTCTGGTACGCTGTCTCTCAACCAATCTCCATCCTGGATCTGATCTCCCGTGCACATGGCCACTCGCATGACCGAATCAACACACTGTCTCAACTTCCGTGTCAATTGGGACACAGTGGTGTCAGTCTTAACGACGCACTAAAGAGGTGCTGACCCTACGGTCACACAAATGCTGCCTTCCATTGGTAGAATTCTATGTAGCTTACTTTCATACTGGAAATAAGCTTGTACAGAATTTTTGTATAGAATGTTTTGACCTGAAGCAGATCCCAATTTGGATCAAAAGCACTTGTCAAAGTATATTAAAAACTTTATTTGCTGGTTTAATTATAAAGATTTGTTGGTGTTATTTAATTGAAATGGTTCATTTTTCTTTCACTTTTTTGATCTATGAGCTGGATTTTTGGTTTTGTGAATAATATTTAAATTCTAATGGCACTTATCCTGTTTTCTATTGAACATGTCCTGTAATTAAATATATAAACGGCTTGCTGTATATTATTACAAATGTAAATTTGTCTCTGTAATCCAAAAACACACTTTGGTAGACGAATTTACATTCCTGTAATTTATTTTATACATACAGTAGACCCCCCTATAAAACAGGTTCCTATAAGACAGCGAAAAAATTGCGACGGTATCCATAAAAAACTCCTATAATTACGTAAAACGTCATCGGACAGCCGAACTACTTTCCGCGCCATCAAGTGCCACGCTACAGAGAGATTACTATCATCTGTACAGTATTATATATAAATTAGGTACTGTACATATAATTATATATTAATTATATATAAATTAGGTACTGTATATATAATTATATATTAACTTATTGTAACTTTGTTATAATTAAATATATAATTTCCGCCGTCTAGCGTGGCGCCACGCTACGGAGATTTTACGCTAACTATCGTCTGTACAGTATGTAAATTAGGTACCGTAAGTCTAATACAGTACTGTAATTTTATACATTTCTTGTGAAAGAAACATTTCTTATTCAACGGCGATTAAAATTATTTATATTAATGATGTCTCCAAAGTTCAACGAAGTTTTCGCAGAAAAATAACATCAGAAATCGCGGCCGCAGTTTGCTGAGCTGTTCCGCGACGAAAACAAGCTTGAGCAACGGCGATGTCGAATGGTGCACACTCGGTAAGTAATCCTACAATTTTTTGTTTATAGCGTAGTTTATACGGATTATTTCCAAAAAAATATAAGTATTTTGGAAATGTTGAGTCGGATTAGTCTAGAATCGATTAATTTTATGGAAGAAAACCTTTCAAACAGCCGTAGTCCGTGAACTTGACACGTATCGGGCTGTGATTGGAAGGACTCGTAAGAAATCGGATTCCTAAAGAATGGAACGTATCTACTGTCTTATAGGGGGGTCGACTGTATTTTACAAAAAAATATAGTAATTACATTACAAAATTTGAAGTTCACAAGACTTTAAATGCACAGTGCTTGATTTACCCAAAACAAACAAGTTTGTGAATTATCCAAAACTTCTTTTATTCAAAAGACCTGGTCCCATCAAGTTTAGATAATAAAGTTTCCACTATATATACGAAGTGATTGTAATTCAACACTGGAGAAATATTAAGCAGTCCAAATGCAACCAAATTTGGTATGATGACATGCAGAAAACATTTCTATATTAATTAAAACTTCTTTTAATGACAGTTGCAGATATTTTTAAAACTTAAAATGCCATGTTAACGTTAAAAACAAAAATGTTTAAAAATACTCTATTTGTTTATGTAAGAATTATAATGAATGTAATATGGAGGAGAGCATTGCAAGATGCAAAGGCTAGGCTCCAAATATTAAGCACCCTCTCTAGTATAATGTATCACCATATTTAAATTTTAAAATATTTTGAGATTTAAAAAATAGTGTTAGGAAAAACTGAGTTTGAGACGACAATCTGTAATACTCCTAATAATCTAATATCAATGAAATTTTTCAAAATATTTTAACTCTTTCCAAATCCCTTACAGCTTTCACATCTTCAATTTGAAGGCAAATGTTAATGAATGTAATAAAAATTATATATAATTTTTATGATGATATTTATCATTTATAGGAGTCAAATAAAAATTACACTGGGGTTACAAAACAAAACCTCAATGTGCATCTCAAAGAACACAAGTACAATGTGGAAAAAGGCTACAATAATATAATTTTAGCAGAATGGCACAAGTGAAAGGATTAGTTATAAAGTGGGATGAAGCAAACATTATTGAACCAGTACATTTTCCAATAATTGCTATGGAAATGGAAAAAATAGATATAAGCAAGATTAAAGAACAGTGCCTGAATGCTAGGGATGCAAACACATTGCCTTCTGTTTGGAAATATGCCATAGCGAAATGATTAGAGCATAAAATCCCCAATTTATGTTCCCCTATAATCAACTTTGACTTTATTTTTGTGTTATACTTTATTAACTTTTATTTTATATTTTTCTTAATTTTATTTGTAACCTTATTTTTCATAATTTATTTTATTTGTATACTTTTAAATTTGTATTTCAAATACTTGAAATGTAAAAAATTAAACTGAATGTTTGATTAGTGGAACATTTGCTTAAATTTATTTAAAAACTCCAGCAATGAGTTGCATAACTTTCCTGGCTATTTTGAGAACTTATTTTAAAAATAACTTTTATAATTTTAATTACAATATAACTTAATAAAACTATGTAGCATTATCTGTTAAAAGATTTTGCTATAAAAAACTTTATAGTTTTAATTATTATAAAATGGCGAAACAAAACCTTAATTTTGAGGGTAGGAATGAGTTTTATAATAAACTACCAATGTTAACAAGTAAAATCATCATTAAATCTGACCCTAACGGAGATATACATGAACCCATTTATCTCCCCACCCTCGACCTTTACCCACCAAAATTTAATAACATCAATGCCCCTCATATACAAGCCACCATGCCAAATTTCATTACTTAATCTTTACCCCATCCAGATATATTAAGCAAAATAAACACCAATACACACATACCACAGAACTTTTTTGCCAGTTTTTTTTATTTTTTTTTGGATTCAGGTAGTCCCAAAACATGGAGTTCTGCAATTGATGAGGGTCAAATATGACATACAATTCCAATACTTTCCCTTGTTATGTATACATAACAACTGGAAAAGTAAAACCTACGATGGCCTATGGTAGTAGGTTGAAAATGTTTGTGAAAAAAAAATTCTCACAACAAAAAGCTCAGGTGTTGTAAGATTGCCATATATTATTGCCTGAGGACTCTGCCACATTCCTTTAACCATTTATCCCCAATGTTTCACATCACTTTGCAAATTTCCTTTCTTTGTTACATTTTATAATTCTTCTTCACAAACAATTATAAAGAATTACAATAATCTCTACAAAAATTCAAATGTGTGTATTGATCACATATAACAACAACTAACCAATTCTGGTTGTTTTAATTTGCAGGAAAAGCCATTTATATTTACTGAAATAATATATTATATAATGAATTAATTAACAAAACAGAAAAATGTACAATACAAACTTCCCACAAATAATACACAAAATATTATTTAATATCTTGTGTATTATTTAATAACAATAATTTAGTAAAATTGTAATCATACTTACACCTATATCATCTACAAGCATTTTATCAAGACCTACAGGTCCCAAAGAACTCTTGACAATATTTGCAATAGAACATGCTGCCATCACTATAATCAAAACAATTAATGTTTAGTCTACAAACAATTATTTTCCTGCTACAAATTAAATTTACACATATCAAAAACTTAATCAAAATTATGATTAATAAAAAAAAAATGTCTTGAGATTTGATTAGTATAAATACATAAAAAGAAAATATATAGTCAATAAAAAGCTCATTTACGTGGCATGTCCAAAAAGTAAAGACACATTGTTTATAAGCAGAAAGCTAATGTTTTATTGTGCATGTTAATAACAGTTGATTTGACCTTGAACCTTTCGCACTTTTTGTGACAACTCCTCATTGCTACATCAAGTCTGATTGAAGTAGCATATGTTTACAATGGTTGCGCCAATTCAGAATCCCGTCATGTGCAAGGTGCACTCCATCACATGTTTTCTGAGGTAAAACTGATGTTCACGACAAACTCAGGAGTGGTAGACCATCTGTGATCTTTGATAAACTTCTTCAAAGAACAGAAGAAGCAATTCAAGCAAATCAGCATGTCACAATAAAAGAATTGCACAAAATCACAGGGAGCATCTAAGTCCATGCTTCATAAAACTCTGATTGTAACATTAGGGTACAGGAAAGTGTGCATGCACTCGAAACGGGGGCAATATTGCCCCCATGTGGGCGTTTTTCCATGTTCAGGGGACAAAAACAATTTTCTGGGCAATATAGTAAAACATTATATTAAGAATAATTAGATATTTTATTCATTATATCACACAATAATTAAACAAATAATATTATACTAGTCACTAGTCTATTCAATGCAGTACAAATTTGGCGTTAGCCTTGTCCCGCGGCATCGGAATTTTGTAGTGAAGGGGGCAATACTACGTAACAGTTTTATTGAAGGGGGCGACAATTCATTAGAGGTTGAGAAACACTGGGATAAACACAAACGAAATAGATGGATGTTGCACTCAACTTCCTCACATGCTCTGCATATGCAGATAAGTTTCTTGGACCACATTGTGACAAGTGATGAAACTTGAATTTACCACCATACTCCTGAATCCAAATAAAATCATTGCAATATCATCATATATATGTATACCAAAACCCAAGAAATTCAAAACTTCAATTTCAAAAAATAAAAATAAAATAAAAATCATGGCTTCTATTTTCTGGGACAGAAAAGACATTCTTCTGACTGACTTCATGCTTCATGGCACCACAATAAATGCTGCTGCATAATGCCTAACCTTGCAACGTCTTTGACAGGCCATTCAAAACAAATGGAGGAGAACGTTGACAACTGGTATCTGTCTGCTTTATCACAATGCTTGGGCTCACACAGCAATTGTCACAAAAATGCTTCTCAAACAATTCAAATGGGAAGTTTTTGACCATCTGCCATACAGCCCAGACCATGTTCCCAACAACTTCCATTTGTTTTTTCTGAAGAAACATCTTGCAGGACAATACTTCCACGATGATGAGATCAAAAATGAAGTTGGAATGTGGTTCCAGTAGCAAGCAGTAGAATTCTATAAATTGGGCTACAGAAGCTAGTATCCAGACTTAAAAAGTATTTGGACAATGGCAGCAATTATGTAGAAAAATAATGCATGTACCAGTAAATAAGATGTAGCGAACATTTGGTCAAATAAAAATGCTTTCAATAAATACTAGCTGTTGTATCTTTATTTTTTGGACATGCCTCATATTTTAAAATTCTTATATAATGTTCATCTTTACTATGCACAGTAATAAAGTATGCAGAAACCTTTCACATTTGAAGTCATATATAAATAAAATAATTAACACTTCAGTGTTGTGGCATTACAAATTGTAATGCATGAAATGTTTATTATTTTATTTATTTGAACGTTGGCATGAAGTGTATTTTATGATCACTATGGAAGTCATGTATTAATATAATTTCACCACTTTTTTTAATGTATACTCATACACAAGAATGACTTAAATGTTTAGATAAAAATTATATTTTTACTGTTTATTCAAGTTTTATCACACCATTCCCTCAGATCATTTTTCTTGAAATCAGCCTTAGACAAATGACAGTAACCTTCTACACAAGTCAGTGACATGCATCAAATTCCAGTCTTTGTGATTTTAAGACAATGAATTGTCCTTCATATAAAATCACAGTACTGATGAAATCAAAGTGTACATAAGTACTTCTAATTTAATAATTAGTAAAATAAACAGCTGAGAGATAAAATATGAAGAAAGATAATACTTGTTGAATTTTATTTGATTTATATAACCTGTTCAATCATTATCTACTTGATACTGAAATATCAAATTTATAATATAGTCGGATAGTTTAAGACAAAAAATGGTTTTAATTTCAAATAATTACAGAAAAATTATCCATTACTCCTATCTTTACTTAATTAATATATCATATTTACAATAGAATTGATTATACACTTATGTGATATGCAGATTTCAGACCTCATGTTTTTATATCCGTTTACATCTGACAATAAACTACTTATAACGATATACATTTTCGGCTTAATAGCGAATAAAATAAAAAAATATTTTATTTGTTCTTTTATCATACCATTTTGAGTCCTCACGGACGTTCCAGAGGTTCTCGTTCCTCCAACTGCAAGCATGCTTGAAACCGACATTTTTCTACAGTACCGTACGAATCAGTAGCGATAAACTAAATGACAAGTTGCCAACCCGACATCGCAGGTTGGCAACACGTCTTCATTAAATCAAATTTTTCCAAAAGGCTGTTAAATTATAAAAATTCCTTCAAATTATTTATTTCCGTTATTATTTAGTTTAAACATTAAGGTCTAACAAACAAATTTATTCAATTTTATTCCATGTTTGAAGAGTTTTTTTACGTGAACTTTCGATATATCTCGATCTTTATTTATTTACTTTCTAAATTAAGTTTGTCGAGTGTTCAGAATATAAGTGTACGGATAAAGTTTATTTAATACAGTAGCCCCTCATTATATCGCGGTTGATGGGAAAGTAAAAGCGCGGTATATCCGGCAGCGCGATATACCCGAGTACTGTTTTGATTACTTATAGAATTAAATATGCCCTGTGCATATTTTTTATTGTTACAAATTCATTTCTTATGCATATATCTATTAATTTATTAAATTAAGTCATCATGTGCATATTTAAAATCATTACATATATACATTAATTGATAGAACGATTGTAAACGTTCCAGAAAATTTATCAAATTGAAAACAGTTCGTTTAATTCTCAGCAATTCTCATCATTAATACACAAAATATTATTTAATATCTTGTGTATTATTTAATAACAATAATTTAGTAAAATTGTAATCATACTTACACCTATATCATCTACAAGCATTTTATCAAGACCTACAGGTCCCAAAGAACTCTTGACAATATTTGCAATAGAACATGCTGCCATCACTATAATCAAAACAATTAATGTTTAGTCTACAAACAATTATTTTCCTGCTACAAATTAAATTTACACATATCAAAAACTTAATCAAAATTATGATTAATAAAAAAAAAATGTCTTGAGATTTGATTAGTATAAATACATAAAAAGAAAATATATAGTCAATAAAAAGCTCATTTACGTGGCATGTCCAAAAAGTAAAGACACATTGTTTATAAGCAGAAAGCTAATGTTTTATTGTGCATGTTAATAACAGTTGATTTGACCTTGAACCTTTCGCACTTTTTGTGACAACTCCTCATTGCTACATCAAGTCTGATTGAAGTAGCATATGTTTACAATGGTTGCGCCAATTCAGAATCCCGTCATGTGCAAGGTGCACTCCATCACATGTTTTCTGAGGTAAAACTGATGTTCACGACAAACTCAGGAGTGGTAGACCATCTGTGATCTTTGATAAACTTCTTCAAAGAACAGAAGAAGCAATTCAAGCAAATCAGCATGTCACAATAAAAGAATTGCACAAAATCACAGGGAGCATCTAAGTCCATGCTTCATAAAACTCTGATTGTAACATTAGGGTACAGGAAAGTGTGCATGCACTCGAAACGGGGGCAATATTGCCCCCATGTGGGCGTTTTTCCATGTTCAGGGGACAAAAACAATTTTCTGGGCAATATAGTAAAACATTATATTAAGAATAATTAGATATTTTATTCATTATATCACACAATAATTAAACAAATAATATTATACTAGTCACTAGTCTATTCAATGCAGTACAAATTTGGCGTTAGCCTTGTCCCGCGGCATCGGAATTTTGTAGTGAAGGGGGCAATACTACGTAACAGTTTTATTGAAGGGGGCTACGGT